GAGGTCCACAGTTCTCTAAATCTCCTCAGAAGAATAATAAAGTTAATATATGGACCAAATGATAACCTGTATAAGAAAAGTCTATGGAAAAGTAGAGGGCATGCTCTATCCATTCATAATAATAACTGTTTATGATTACAATGTAAAGGTGTATTGTGGGGTAAGATTATCGACAGGGAGAGGGTGTAATAATTGTATTAATTTTAGTAACAGTCTCCACAGGGATACAAGCTGCGCGCGCGTGTGTTTGTGTGAAGAGAGAGAAAGCAAACGAGAAAGAGAGAGAGGGGGGAGAAAAGCAAAAAACTTCCATCTAAAGTTTGTCGGAAGTGAATGTTAGGGAGAAAACGCCAATATGGGGACTTGAGGCAGCTGCAGCGCGTCTGTCTCTGTGTGATTCTGTTTGGGGGCCACGAGCAGCGATTCTCGCCCTGCGCTTAATAAACAGCACAAATCATCCGTCAGACCCCCGGGACCAGCGCTCGGATCACCGCAGGACACACGACGTTTGAGGAATATGTGATTTTGTTCACGCTCGGTTGAATGTGTAGTTGTATCGCGGGACGCGCGTCATTCCCGATCCAAGGCGGATGATGGAGAGGAACTACCCGAGCCCCGGCTTCGCAGAGCCGGTCAGCGCGGCGGCTCAGAGCGCGGGCTGGGCCTACAAACCTAGGTACGAGAAAACTCCGGTGATGGAAGGCCTAGCGAAACACACACACATACACCCACGTAAAAGTGTCAAGACTCATATAAAGCTGGTTTTAATGGAGTTAATGCGTTTATAGCTGCAGTCTCTCGCGTATTTACACACCGTGATGATGTTTGTACATCTGCTGAATCTGCTCAAATCACTGATCACCTTTAAACCCGTACTGCACTTAAACGCTAATGCATAATTATTCATTTTGGTGTATGTTTTGCCGATGAATCATCCGATAGTGCAGGATAAGGACTGTGTCAGCTTGTTCGCGCATATATAAACTTGTACAGAAGTCAGAGTGTCTTTGCAGACATTGAGGAGGTTTGTAAACAATTGATCGATAAGTGTTGCAGAAGGGCCACGTGTCTGCAACTTTACACAAAGTGTCTTATTTAGTTCTGTCTGTCACTGATTTTCCTTAAACTTCCACACGTGTGGCACTAGTGCATCATGTTTATATGCATAAATTGCCTTCCTTTATCAGGCAACGATGTCAGTTGTACTGTTGTAGAATTATTTATTCGGTATAGCATATTAAAATTGCATTTAAGTGCAAAACGGGGTGGCCAGAACACTAGTTCTAGTTCACTAACAAACTTCTGGCAGACACATTATAACTGACCCACTTAGATAGTTTAGCGACCTTATTTTTGGAAATTCCCATGAAGTGTGTACTGCATAGAGCCCTGCATAATTCCTAATAATGCACATTGTGATCTACTGTATTTTTCATGCCTTTCACGTCATAACGCATGACATGACACATCAGCCTGGAATCTATTAAAAGATAAAAATGTAGAGTATTATAACTATTGTTATAATTATGAGGTCTTATTAGCTATGTTATAATGCATTAGGAATGCATTTATAATGCAGCTTGTTATGTTATATAATCCTGCTTGTATTGTGTGTTTTTGTCAGAAATAAGCACCAAGTGGTTTGCAAGTCAGAACAAGGGACGGTTAGGTTATTACACTGTACTAGCATGCAAATGATTGCACAGGTAGTTCTGTTCACTCATTTGCAAAAATCAGAGTTCCCATCTTTTAGCTTAGGGTTTTTGAATGGTTTGGTTGAAATGTACATTGACACCAGCAGGAATGAGAATTTGTAGTGTACCATAAGAATATATATGATAAAAATGCTCATTTTAGAAGAAAATTGTGTGTGTATATATATATATATATATATATATATACACATAAAAGAAGGAATTTATAATACAGTAACAAATGGACACACATTTAAGTTCCAGTAGGTTCATTAGGTTGTTGTAGTAGTTGCATTTAGGCTGCTGGTTTTTTTTTTTATATATTAAAATGATCACTGTCACTTACAGTTTAATAGTTTGCTGGCTGTGCTACTAACTGAAATAGAGCGGCTAATAGGAATCCAACAGACTAGAACTAGCTGATGGATATTCACTCTGTTAGTTTATACAATACGCATCCACACTGAAACCATCAAAACAGCCAGGAAACAAACCCAAATGAATCTCCCCAGCTGTGACATTTACTTGTGCAGATGTTTATTTGGCCAAATATATAGTGCAGACTTTCCTCTATTTAGCAAGAGATGTGGCATTGCTAAAATCATAACAGACAAACTAATGTAGCGTCTGGACCAATCAGACACACCATTTTTCATTTGATTTAACAAATCAATTATTCATTAGATTAACAAACGTTCACAGACCCCTCACCCAATAAACATACTGGGTGCCAAGTTGTCTGTGAACAGGGCCCAGGACCCTGGTTACCATGGCAACCCTGACACCAGATACATTTACGACCTAATGGAATGCGAAGCAGGGAAAATCACTGCATGTTCCATCGCAAGAGGCACAAGGCACAGTAGAAGATGATTAATTATTCATATTTCCCCATGAGCTGATTCGCTACACTAACCAGCTAAAATAGTTTCCATATGTTTTCTCTGACATCTGTCTATTGTCTTTGTAGCTCATTTTTGTCTCATTAGCTGTGAAGTATAGCCTACATATTACATTTAAAATGTTAATATGTTATGACAGAAAACTTGTATAAATATGCACATATAACTAACCAATCTATGCAACTATTACTAGCTTATTACATACACTACTACTACCAAACTAGTCTGCATCACAGAGAACTTGCGTAATAATATCTGTTATTATGTCTGAAATAGTTTGTTTTTGTTATATTAAATAGTTTAGAGTTACGCGAATGTGTACAGTAAACACCTCTAGAATGTTATGTGCGAAGATACTGTATATAAATGTGCCTATCCTAACTGAATATTAAAGATTTTTGCGTGAGCTCAAGTTTGTGGTTGGATTTTTAAATATACAAGATATACCATCTAAAGGTAGCTTTTTTGCTTTATAGTTCTAGTTATGGTTCTACACAGTTGGACTCTGAGCTCCTCCAACGGCAGACCTTTGACTCTACTCACCAGCCAACGTTTACCACCACCCACCATCCCACAGGTGAGCAACAGGTTCAGGCTGTAATGAGATATAGTTACTGCTTAAAGTCATTGAGAGCCTGTTGTCTGTCTATGATATC